GGAGTGTAAAGAAATTTTTTGTAAATTTTCTAAATATGAAATATGAATGAAAACTTTCTCTCATATTTTCTTTATTTTTTATTTCTTTATTTTTTTTCTTTTATTTGTGTTGCGACGTTGACTTAAGGTGATTTGGTTGTTTGTATTGATTGGCGACCTGACTCCTGGGAAGGTTGTCGGTTGATTTTGATGTAATATCCCCGGCTCAAGCCCTACTCCTAGACCATCTCGTTTCCTCGATCGGATTGTCACCTTGGTCAGGCTGCACCTTTTGTCATCTCTTAAGCAGATCTTGCCCTTGCCTTCGCAAGGTACCTTTTGAGACTTTTCACTGGGTGATTTGTGTCATGCCTTCATGAAGCTTGTCCCTACAAGTAGAGAACCACCTCCATAAATTTATTTGTCGAGTTTAGAGATAGGATTAGGGTTGATTTTTTTCTTTTCAATGTTGACAGACATCAGTGTGTCATTGTCAATCGTTTGAGTGTATTGATGCCCGGATCTCGTTTTACACTTTTCAAGTTTTGGTTGCTCAATTGTACTCTTCTATGTCAGACTACCCTCATATTAAGCTTATTAAGCATCTCTTATCATTTCTTTTCACAAGGTAAACCTCGAGTCTTATAAGGTGATTTATGTTCTACCCTTCACGGTGCTTGTCACTATTGGGTAGAGAATCACCTCCATAGTTTGAGCTGACCAAGTTTGGAGAAAGGATTTGAATCATGAGTGTTGTGGGTCTTTTGTTTTATATTCTGCATATCAAACTTCCTTGGTGCCACCGTCGGTCCTACCGCTCTGGTCTAAGTTCACTGAGTGTAGGCTAGGTGTCAAAGTACATGAACTCCTTGAGTTCCCCGAGTTGCGGTTGAACCTGGGAATATATTATAAGGAATCATATTCGAACTTACATGAAAATATATAAAAATATTTGAAATGGCCACACTTCTTCCTTTACCGTGCTGACAGCTGGTTGTTCGGGGTAGGTTGAACATTGGAGAGGTGTTGTTGGCCAGCTTTTTCTGAGTGTTCCCAAATCGTCGGAGTCGGTTGTGTGTCTTGATGGTATGTTTCTCACCTCTGAGTCAAAGCCTCTCATAAGACGATGGAGACTTGATTTCTCGGTCATGAACCTTAATTGCACTTGGCTTGGTCATTTTATCTGTTAGACGTGGGAGATCTTTGTGTTCCATCAACATGTCCTTAATCATATTCCCTTCGATCTATAGTGTTGAGTCTCCTCATGAATTGTATTCTTCGATCTTCGTCAGTTGAGTGGTGTCAATAGAGTGCAAGCAAGATACTATAAGTCATCCTATCCTGGGTATTAGCCAACCGTTGACAATCTGTCGTTCGTTTTGAGGTGATTTGAGCCTACAAATCCAAACCTCTCGGATAACACCAGAAATGACATTTTTAAACTCCTAGGTTTTTTTTTGCGTGATTTCTTTATGCATCTAGTGTTTGAAATATTTGCATAGGATTTTCTCCTTTTTTGTGTGTCCCTCTTCTAGTTGGTGTCATGATTCACACTCATCACACCTTTCAAGAAGTTGAATTTAGGTTTGTCTTATGATTCACACCCAGGAGTTGGAGCATTTTCTTCGGGAGGGAGAGAGAGAGAGAGAGAGAGAGTGTGTGTGTGTGTGTGTGTGAAAGAGAGCAACAAAGCTTGCCCCATTGAGGCGAAGAGGGGTGTTCCTGGGCTCTGCGACCCATTTTATTTCATCAAATGGTTAGGTACATCCAAGGAATCCAAAAAAGTCTTAAAACATGAATTTCCATCTTATTTATAGAGGATAGGAGAACAAAAAATAAAAATTATATGATTAAACCAACTTGAGAGGGAGTTGCATTGGGCATTATAGTCTTTTGGGGTGTTCAAGTTTGTCACTCGGCGACCCTTAGGTCCGCAACCAGATGTTCGGGCATTTGGTAGCCCTCCGTTCAGTTGGTTGGAGAAAATCACCGACTACTGGAGGGTGGTGGTTGGTCGGGCGCTGGTCACTGGAGGATGGTGGTTTGATCAGTTAGTCGACCATTGGAAGGTGGTGATCAGTCGGTCGGCCGCTGAAGGGTGGTGGTGGATCGATCTTCAATTTTTAATTGGCTGATTGTCTCCAAATTTTTTTTTTGTTGATGATCATTCCTTTGTCATTCTTCTTATGACCGTCGAATCTCATTAAGTTCAGTGGAGCACTTTTTTGTTATACACCAATATATAAATAAAATTTATCTACTTGTCATCTCACCCAAGAAATGAATCATTATTGAATTAATTAATTAATTTATAATATTAGTAAACTTCTAATGATATGACTAGTGTGAGTATAGGAATTATCTTCTAGATGATACAAAACTATAACCTAAAAATTATAAAATAATGGGTGTTTACTTTCCAAGAAATAAACACTATGGGTGAAACCGACTATGTATAAATGATAAAACAAATGGCATAAATATGATTAATGAAAGAGGAAGAAGTGAAATTGAATATTTTAACAAAACAATTACAATAAATATATAAAAGACTTGATTTTAAAATTTTGTAATTATTTAATGGTGCTTATAATTTAATAGAGTTCATTACTATTTTCTGACAAATTGATTGTCATTGCGTTCAAATGCAAAAAAAAAAAAAAAAACACTTGTGCTAATATTGTATTTAGATGTCAATAAATGACTTATCAATCATTGATCATAAACTTTTTAATAAAAGAAGGAAATAATCAACTCATAACTTTTCATTGATTCAAAAAAATATACACTCTGAGGGCTTGCCCACCCAATTAACTAATATACGAATATTGAATTTTATCAAAAATACAGATGATACGTACAATTCTTAGTGAAGATAATAATATGATCAAACTCAATTACATATCAATAAAATTCATGATTTATATGGACACACATTATTTTTCAACATTCAAAGCAATGAGTATAACTTTCTAAGAATTTGTACAATTAACAAGGCAAAGCTAACTATCATAGTATGTCAATATGATTACATAAAATATTATGAAAAAACTAAGGATATTTATATAATATATATTTAAAATCAAAGCTTCGAAATAAATTTCAAGGAATATGTCACAAACAAAGAATAGTATAGTTATCCCTTAACTACAAAGAATCATCTACTTAACAAAAGTCACAGGCAATGCAACCTTTTGTAGTGTGAAAGTGATGTTTCTCCCTCTTGGACATGATGCTTCATAAATTTTAGATTTATAAGAATCCAAATCATACATTGATTCATTATATTGCTCAATAAACAATAAATAACTAATGCAATCAATTAAAACATCTATTTATAATATGATTTTGAAGAATTTTTCTACTGATTTTCATGCAAAACTAAAACAATCACAAATTATGTAATACTTTTTGTATAGATTGACTTTCACCATATAATATTGAAATATTCATAAGCCCTTATGCTAAAAAAATTTGTTATACATGCAAACATTAATTTTTAGGTGTTTGATAGATAAATATGAGAATTATGTGATGGGTAAATCTCCCTTAAAAATTTATATTAACTAAATATTTTTTATGGAGTAAGGAGAGCTCAGTATGTTTTCAAAAGATCAAATAATGCTAAGACCTATTTTCTTTCAAGTATATATATATATATATATATATATATATATATATATATATATAATTATTTTTTTTGTTAAATTTATTTAGTTACTCATGCATGCTTGTCTGTATGTATGTATGTGTATATTTTTGGCAATTACTAGAATATTTGTCAATATTAAAATATCAATTGTTATTAATGCCTTACTAATATTCAAGTAAAAAAAAAAAACATACATGGTTACTAAATCGCCTTCTACGCTTCTTTTTGGAAACAACAAATAAGGAAAAAAGTGAAAATTTTTAAATTCTATTTCTTTTCTTATTACTTTCTGATTCTATCAATATACACTAAATACACTTGAATTTAAAATAGAATATATTAATAAATGGATATATGCATACATTAAACCAAATAAAAAATATAAATGTATCCATTCATGCATGGATACACCAAGGGAGTGTTTGGTTACAAGAAGGATTTAGTTTTAGTAGAATTTAGTAAAACTATAAATCGTAATTCAGTTAAATATCTCTACCTTTGGACTTAGTAAGTCTAGATTAAATCAAATCAAAGGCAATAATTGTGGCCATAAATTCAAAAATTCATTAATCTACGAAACTTCTGCATTTTAGTGTTTAACTAGATTTAATAAATCCGATGATAGATCCTATTAAGAAATGCTACGAAACACCTTCTAATATTGAGGCCTCCATGGGTTTCTTCCCTTTTCTACAACCTACCACACATACAAAGTAGCAAAGGTTATTCCACTAATCCCTAAGCAACTCTAAATATGAGGAAGAGCACAACCCTAGGTGGCACTGCGTAGGACCTCATAAATTCATTTTCTGCCTATCTAGGGTTTGAACCACTGAGGTCTTTGAGGATTGCTTCTCTTGCAGAAATTCCTTCTGGTAAAACCCAAAGAACATTAATGGATGCTCCGCGGGGCTCGTACTTAGGCCGACCACAAGTCAAGGGCTTTGCTTTTAAACCCTGACTACATGTCATGGTTGGAAGATGCGACACGAAAAGGGTAGGAATAACATTACCAAATTACACAATTTAGTCCAAAATTAGGCTTCGTTTGTGGCAGTGGTGCGGTGGTATTGTAGTTTTATCTTTTTGGATAAACTGTATTTTGATAGTTTTTCCAAAATTATGCTTCGTTTTTGACAGGTACAATGACAACTTTCTGGACGCGGCCTGACTTTTTCAAATAAATATTGTAATAGTCACCACAAACTTCTAATTATTCCTCTACAGTTTCACAATTTCTTCTTTAATAAGCTGCAGCTACCTCTAATATAACCTATATTTTAATTTTTGGCTTAAAATTGTATCATTTTAGACTAAATCATGTAATTGGTAATGCTAATTCTACCCCTTTCGTGTAGCATCTTCCAACCGCCACCTGTAAGCAGGGTTTAAAAGCGAAGCCTGCGGTCGGCCCAAGTCCGAGCGCCGCGGAGCGTCCGTTAGGGTTTGTATCGTCTTAGCGGAAGAAATTTCTGCGAGAGAAGCAATTCTCAGAGACACGAGCTTGGCAAACCTTAGATAGGTAGGAAATGAATTTCTGAGGTGCTACGCAGTGTCACCTAGGGTTCTGCTCTTCCTCAGGTATAGAGGTCCTTAGGGTTTAGTGGAATAACCTTTGCTACTTTGCAGGTCTGGTAGGTTGTAGAAAAGGGAAGAAACCATGGAGGCGGCGAAGGAGAAGCTGGCCGCTGTTAACGGCGGGGAAGTGGAAGATGAGGAGGTAGAAGAGGTAGAGGAGGAGGTCGAGGAGGAGGTCGAGGAGGAGGTTGAGGAGGTAGAGGAGGACGAGGAGGAAGAGGGAGGAGATGGCGAAGGAGCGGGAGAGAGGAAGAAGAAGTCTCCTGGAAGGAGGATAGAACATGTAGATAGTGCAGGCAAGGAGTTAAAGCAACACGTTAGCGGTTCTTCTTCTTCAGGGTTAGTAGTAAAGTCTTAGGGATTGCTATTCGTTTTTGTTAGATCATCATGTTTCTAGATTTAAGGCTAGCGGATGGTCGGGCTCAAATTCTGGCCCATTTGATTGCCTCGGAGGGATGACGAAGTGAAGATAACCGTATTTCTTTCTTGTTTGGTAGAAAAATCTTCGTTGGTGGTGTTGCTTGGGAAACAACCGTAGGTATGGCTATTGTTCATCTGTAGATTTTTTTCTGTCCTCTTTAAACTGACAATTAAAATGTTCTTTACCATGATATTCATTCATTTCCTTATCTTGATCAAAATTTCTTGTAAAATTATCCCTGTTTATATTTTTTCCGGCCTGCCCCATCTGAGAGCAAGCTATTTTTTTTAACAGCTGAACACTTAGATAGTCACTCGGCCGTTTAATCGCTGAACAGACTATTTTCTTAGGGAAATTTAAATACATACCTCATAATTCGTTTCTATTTACATATCTGACACCCAAATTTTAATATGTACATTTATAACACCTTGATGTCATAAACCTATGCATGAAAGGGTGTATTTCACGTTTAAAAAGGTAGTGATGATGGTATTTTTGATGTGATATTAAAGATTCGATTGGTATGCATGTAAATATGAATTTTTTTGGTGTTAGATAGGTAAATACATGGGAAATCTGTGTAATGTATGTATATGCCCATGTTTTATTACTGTATGGCCATTTTTTAGTTGCCCATACTGTTTATGTTGCTAGTTTAACTTATGTTATTAGTAATTGAATTATAAATATGGTTGCTCTGGTTTTAGATTTTCTTCAATTTGCTTTGAGTGCTATTATTGTAGTATTAATATCCCTAGAGCACAAGTTTTCTGTATTAAATGTTACCTATAATTTGTGATGTCTAAAATGTTACATGGATTCAAAACAATGTTTTTAGTGGTGCCTCAATTGTTTACCAAGGCATATGGGTGAGATGGGGCAAGGTCATAAGAGGTGAGCACTATTACTAAGGTATTGGTTTGGAGAGTCCTTCCCATAATGCATCAGGTTGTGGGGTGAGCTTGTTGTTTTGATTGGAAGATATATGTTCAAATACCTTAAATAGTGAAGATGAGTAAGTTAATTATGATGACAATTTACGATGTGATGATGTAAAATGAGCATTAGGAGTTAAACAAAAATTTGCATTAGGAAACAATTTAGATTAAATCTATTTGCAGGATATCCATTTAGAGTTTTAATTTTTTAGCGTATGAGTTTGAGGAGATGAGGTTATCGTGCATAAAAGAGAATTGATGATGAGAGATGGGATATAGAGTGGGGAGGATTACATTATCTTCAGGTTATATATATATTACGAACTTAAGTAATGTAATTGTACTCGTTTTAGATAATGTATTTAGCTAGATTTTTTGAACATGTAATTTAATGGGATTTGCAAGTTGGTTATAATTATAACGATTCGTTTTGGCATTGCACTTTATTAGATGTTTTTAGCTAGATTTCTTGGCCGTATAACCTTGAAGCATTTGAATATTTTTTAGGAAGGGAAAATTTGAGTTCATTTTGATGTTCTATGACCTACTTATTAGATGTTTGATAATTTTGTTTGTGTAACAAAGTTGGACATCGACATTCTTTTATTGAAGTCTGGCAGACACTTAAGCTCTTTATATTCTTTACTTTTGCTACTGAGAATTAAAGAAAGTATTGCTCCATGCTCTTGCATGGTACCACACTAACTGCTAGACAATGTAGTATTAGAGGGTTTAAAACAGAATGAAAAAGAAGGCATATTGGATTGGAAATTGTGATCAGGAGCATAATAGATACTTGGAGCGATCATAAATTGATGACAAGTTGATCAGTTTTCAGGTTTTTATAGTAGCAGGTTAACTGTTCGGTTTTCTCGTGTCTAGGTCTTAGTGTGTTCTGAATTATGGGGAGAATATGACAATTTTTTCAATCTTATGGTTCTAGGTTATATCTAATTTGTAGCTCTTAAGTGAAGAAAAGATTAACATTTTTATTACATTGCCTAATAATAAAATTGGCTTTTTTGGAAGCTTATAATGCGTATCATATTAGCTTTTAACCATTGCTATTAAACAATGTTTAAAAATATGCAATCCGGTATTGAGACATTCCTTCAATGAGGCAAGGCGTAACCCTGGGCACTCAAACAATTGTGTAAAGGAAAAATATTGTAGAAATTTAAGGGGTTGTTTGGAACAATTTTTTATTTTATGTTTATGTTTTTTAGAAACAGAAAAATAAAAAATGCGATTGTTTGACGCTCAAACAATTGTGTAAAGGAAAAATATTGTAGAAATTTTAATGGCTGATTGGAACTATTTCTTGTTTTCGTCTTTAAAAATAAGAAAAAAAAAAAAATGCATTTAGTTGATGTTTTATTATGTTTCTTTAAACGTATTGTTTTTAAAACATTTTAAAACAATTTAAAAAATGCAAAACTCCAGAAATCATGTTTTTGCTATTTTTAAAACACTTTTCCCGAGCTTGAGCTACTGCACATTCATCTCCAAGAGCTACACCTCCCTCTTTTTAGCCGTTGCTCCACCACCCTCCTCTAAGAAGAGGCCGCTGACTACGATGGTGCCTTTGCTGCCTCTGTTCGACGTGAGGAGTGGTACGTCTTGCCGTCAAATAGACTTGACGAGGCACTGATAAAAAAAAAATCAAATCTTCCAAGGCATAAGAGAGAGGAAGGCATCATACATGGAACTGACCGCTCTGTTTATCTTTGGGAGCTCAAGGAAGAAGAAAACCTCATTCTTCTTCCAAAATGTAGTGAGTTCAAGGAAGGCATCGGACTTGCAGTGTATCATCACTTGGCTGACCTTTCAAGCCAAAATGATGTTGGATCCATATGAACAAGGGGGAGGAGGAGAAGATCATGGAACTGATGCGGTGGAATTAGAAAGATTGACATGCATACCACTCAAATCCCATGTATTTGAATATTTAACACCTAAATTTCAGTTTTTACATACTGACCATCTTACATGAAAATATGTATTTCACTTTATAAAGATGGTGTTTTTGGTGTCATAAGAAAGAATAGGGTGGTGTACATGTAAAAAGTGAAATTTAGGTCACAATTATATGAACCCATAAGAAATGGGTGGTGTGTATGTAAATCCCCTTATCTTTTTGTTTAAATATTTCAAAAAGGTAGCATTTTTTATTTCCCAAAAAAAAAAAGCATATGAACATCAAACTTGTTTTTTGCTCTATTTTAAAAAAGCGTAAGAGTTCCAAACGCATTTTTTCTTTATGTTACATAAAAAATAGTCAAACTAAAAAAAATAAAAATAAAAAACAAAAAGTGATCCTAAACTCCTTAAAAATTTGAAATAAAAAATAACATACTAATATTCTAACATATTAACACGTTAAATAGTAACATATTAATATTCTAACAAAGTATGATGTAACAAATTGCATAAAGAAATAACATGCTAACATTATAACTTTAAATCTTGAAGTAAGAAGAGTTATACAACTGTCATATTAGAGAAAGAGAGAGGGGTATTTAAACCCAATTACAATAAGCATAATAATGAAAAATAATAAAAACAGAATAAAATAACTAGGAAAGAAAATAAAACAGAGTAAAGCAAAAGAGAAAAAAACATAATCATGAAATATGATCAAATAATAAGTAACAATGATGTAGAGATAGCCATTATATTCTAATATAAACTATCATGGTAAACTAAGATATCAAAGTAAAATATTAAAACATTAAAGCAAAACAATTAAAATAAGTTCAATTTTTTATCACAAGTTTTTTTATCACTCATAATATTATCTATTTTAAGTAAGAAAATATTAATTTATCTACATTGGAATTTTAAATTTAAAAATTCTCATCACTCATGAAACTTCATTTGAATCATCTACATAACAAATCATTTTTTCCTTTTTTAGCCTCAGTTGTATCTATATTGTCCTGTTCGTCTTGATTTTCAATATTACTTGTCTTTATCATTCTTAATCAGCTGTATTCAATAAAAATAATGGCTAGATTTTAAAAAATAACATGTTGATAATTAGATTTGTAATTACATAAATTTTTATGGATCTTTTTTTTTATTTATTTCTAGTTGGCTTGTGATAGCCTCACTTCCGACCCAATCAGAATGTCAACATTTGAGATTCTTTTTATAAAAAAAATCAGATGTTGTTCTCTTATCGTCATCTACAAATTACATGATCTGATAGCATGTCATCATAAAGTGATCATCATCTTTATGGTCTTTTTCTTCATATTTCTTTCTTCCATCCTCTTGTTATACATAATAAAACCAATGAGTTCTACTATAAGTTGCTTGAACAATATTCTTCTTTTTGTTTGGATTTGGTTATATGTGCTCCAATTTTACATATCTGATGATGAAAATATAAAACCTAATATTTTGACTGCAAATTGTTTTAACTTTGGAGTGCCGTCACTAAATTTAATCTACTATCCAACCGAAATTGAAAAAAAAGTTGAGAAATTATTCTTTATTTTAATCACTAAATAATGGAAACCATGTGGAGAACATGCTGAACCCACTGGTTTGCCATAATTCGATGTTTTCTTATTTATGATGGACGTAAGCTGTGTATTAGCCTTCCTCCCTCAGTTGAGTCAACTATCAATCTATACATACAATAATACATACCTAATTTACTCTTTAGGATTTGTTGACTTGTATTCAGCATATTGGCATTGCTGATTAAGATAATATCCTGCAATATGAAAATACAATTAAGTTATAGCTCTCACATTTTATCAATGATTTCCCATAACTCCTCGTAGTGGAACTCATTTTATATCAAAATTTGGGCTATCAATTCTATAGTTTCATCTATTGCATTGCAAGCATGGTGGACCAGAATCGATATTTTTTAATTAATATGGCTTTGTTGTTATTATTGCATATGTTAACACTTACCTAGAACTCTCATTAGGGACAATTTTTTTACTTAAAGTGTTTTTTGCACAAGCAAGGTTAAGCCATTGCATGGAAGTGAACATAGATTTCAAAAGATTTCATGCTTCCAAAATGCTTTTAGTGTCAAGTGTGCTGTGGCAAGCTTAGTTGTAGTTGTATGTAGGAGTTCCTTATAGACGAATTTTATAATCTTCTTTGCTTTGCTCAAAGCTTTCTTATGCTAAGGCAAGCCATTATGCTTTTATA